CATACACGACGAGTTCGACATGGGTCCTTGCGACCTGCCTTGGAACCTTCGCCCTGCCATCCGTCGATCCCGCCTTGTAGACGTCCTCCGACTCCACCTGGCGGACAAGGAGGAATGGGTCCTTGTCATCTCCGAAGCCCGCCGCAAAATATAGAGCACGCATCAATTCCATCCATCTTCTATACATTAATTGCTTTCATTTCATCATGGCGAAAGCAGCAACATCTGATGCGGCAAATATAGGCAGCAGCAGCAGTCGATCTGTCAAAGACATTGCAGCCTACCTTTGTTTTATATTTCTGACATTTTACAAGAAAGGCAATGAAGGCGAGTACTATGGACCCTATATTTGCTTTGTGCAATGGAGTGGAATGGGGAAGACAAAGATTCTCTAAGAATTGTGCAAGCGGTACAAAATGAATGAAGAAGGGACATCTAAGAGTGGTACAGGGAAATCTAAGAGTGGTACTAATATTGTGGGTCGGCTCATTCTCTGCTGCAATGCAAAAGGGGAAAGCGATGAAAAGAAAAAGGAGAAGCACCTGTTTGACGCATTCACTGATCTCCGAAACGGCCTAGACAACAATCAATCCTTTCAACAAGTAGTTGACGGCGTGTTTAAAAAGCTGGATAAAATGATTGCCTTGTTCAATATCGCTAATGAGCAGACGGAATTGGTTTTGTTTTTTCACGAAGCACACTACCTGCTTGATGAGGGCACAATGGACGCAATGCTCTTTTGTATCGTTTGCCTTTGGATTTGCAAGAAGCGGGGGAATTTGCAAATCGTTGCTGTATTCACCGGGACAACTGCCAAATTAACCAACTTCATCATTGATGACAACATTACAAACAAGACGGACACCGATACTTGTGAGTACACGTCACCTAAACTTGGATTCTACACGAGGGGTGAGAAAACGTCCTATACACCATTTTACACTACCACTACAATTGGGTGCCTCCAATTTGTCAAAATGGATGATTCATCATCAAATAAGAGCGAATACAGCATCGCCGTTCCTTGCGGGCGGCCTCTTTTTGCTGCAATGTCCGAACAAGAACTGAAGGCTGGCGAGTCAACCATTGTTCAACATATTGTTCAAGATGCTTCACCAAGCGCATTCAAAAATACAGCAGCAACCTGGCTCAGTGTGTTGGGCACACAAGTGCAGATGGGACAAACAACATTTGCTGCAGCTTCTGGTCTTGTGGGCCGTTCTTACGCCAACATTGTTTTGGTTAGCCCTGCTACAGTTGACGGCAATGACAAGCAAACTGCCAAAATTTGCTTCCCACCAGATCCTTTTTGTGCGCGGTTTGCAATGTGATAGTTGGTCCATGGCTCTTTCAGAAGACACGACTCTGAATGGAAGACCAAAAGTATGGTGGGTACAGAAGATGAAGGACCTATTTTCAGACCATTTTTGTTCACCGGAAAAGGGAGACTTTGGGGAAGTCATGGCGGCTTTGTATTTTTTGTTCTGTGCAGATATTGCCCGAGGTAGTTTGAAGGACAATAAGGAGTACACCACTTTCTCAGTACCACTAAATGATTGGATCAATTGTCCAATCAATGGGGGTCGTAGTGGTGATGATGGTGACAACGGTGACGACATGATGACTAAAAATAACGATTGCCAGGTCCATTTCAGTGCCATCCAAGTCTGTCAAAATTATGCCCGTGAGTATGATGACTCGTGGTCTTTACTTCAGAATGAAGTGTTCTTGGAAAACATGTACAAAACGGTTGTGGGATTTTATGTGTTTGCAGGTTGCAGTGTCATTGATGTTGTATTTGCATTGCAAATATCAGCGGCAGCACCAAGAAAAGGCGGCGTCACCGCCACTAGCTCATCCTCATCAAAAAAGCACCAATACGTTCCGATGTTTGTGTCCATCAAGTTGCAATCCAGTTTCTGTCCAAAATCTGCAAGCATTGAATGCAATAAGATGAAATCAAAATTTGAAGCGGGGAAAGGTGGTAGCGAGCTTGGTGCCCTTTGCCTCTTGGTGGTGTTTGCTTCATCTGTCAAGTCAAAGATGGAGACTATACTTTGAAACCAGATCGCATAAAGAATCTTGAAGAGGGAATGGCAGTATCCAAAGTGCTGCGGATACCAACCAATGACGAATTTGGATTGAAAAAAGCATTCTGGGAGTTGACAGGAGTTCACAATGAAATATCAGAAGTTCTTGCTTCTCACAGCTTTTTGGGTGCCCATCGAGAAGCTGATAGCAAGACCACCACGAATAACTTTAGAGAGCAAATCTTGCGACTCCGCCCAAAATTAAAGATAAAAAAAGCAGAAACGCAAGGCATTGTAAGGAAAACAGATGAAGTGAATGGCTATTTGGATAAGTTGCTTGCAGGTCTAGATGACATCGTTAGAAGCGAACTTATCGAAAAAAAAAACGTGCAGCCTGCACGCGGATTTGCAGCATGCAGAATCCACTTCCGGGTGCCCCTGCAGGCTGCATCCATTTTGCCGCGAGCTGCAGGAATCTGCATCCATC